TTCCCAACCTATTTCCTCAAGGTCGAATGCTATGTAGTTTAGGGTTTAAGATTTTCGCTAGGTTCAAACATGAAATCAACCTCGATTCAATATTTTAAGACCTCTAGAATCAAATTTATGATCAAATTTCATCAAAACACTTTTTCCCCTAAATCTAGGGTTTGGCTGAATTCAACATGTGCTTATGTAGCCATGTACAAGTGATTTTAATCATCAATCATGCTTTTATATGATTCTACAACCTCAAAAACATCAAAATCCTTCATCAATTCCATAAACCCTAATGTGAAAACAAACCCTAAAATTTGAGATCTTTCAACACAAACCAAATTAGCAAGCAATAATGGTACAAGTGATAGCGTTTTTCGAATATAACAATTTTCTATTTCACGACATGATCCAAAATCCAAAGAAAATTACTCAAAAATTGAAAAGAAAAATTTTCTTACCTTAAGAGGAGGCTCACGGTAATGGTGGCTGAAAATTGCCCAACCTCATGAAATTTTCCTTTAATTTCATGGTAATTTAACCTTTATTTAAGCTTAAATGAATAAAATATTCATTTAATGAGAAATGCCCATTTTACCATTAATGAAACTTGATATTTACAATAATACCAAGCCACATAACCTTATCATCTTTCCAAAGTCAAAGATGAACAAAATTTTTTACCCTTTTCCAATATTACCAAGTAACTTTCCAAAAATTGCAATCTTCCCACTTTGATCTAATGGTCCAAATTAAACATGGAATTAAATCTTCAAATCCAATGATCCATATTATTTTCTATTATTTTAAAATGTGGAAATAATATTTTTAAGCCTAATTTATCATCCTTCAAATTTTCCGAGAAATTTGACTCGATTCGACTATCCGAATTTTCTCAAACTTTATCACTTTATAGTTTTTAATACAAAATCCGTACGAAAAATATGATTCCCACGAAAATGTCATTCTTAGAGGTAAACTATTCATTTAAGGAGTTGGATTACATAACTTTTTAAAATTATACTTTAGTCTCTAAACTTTTCCAAATTTTATACTTTGGTTGTGTAACTTTGGGGTATTACAATGTGGACTAACATTTAGTTATATGTTATATTGAAAAATTAAATGATTTTGTAACTTAGTGTCTGAATTAGGAATATAAGGACTGTTTTGAATGTGGGCTAATATTTAGGTTCCATTTCATAAACCCTATATCATTATAGGGTCAAACTCTGCAATATACCCATTACATTAGGTATATGTTATATTTTTTAGCCCTTGTTTCACTTAAATTTTCTTCGGCCGTTTCCTCTTCCACAATTCCTAATGAAGCTCCATTTGTCATGCTCACGCCACTATCGATGAAATATTTATCTTCACGAGTATTACATCGTCCTAGTTAGACTACGCAACTCGAACGAAGAACAACAATGTGGAACCAATGTCTACTAACAATAAGCCAAGCATGGAATGGTGAGTCTGATGTCTTGGTCCCCAAGATTCTCTCTTTCCCCTCTTGTCTGTCACCTTCTCCTGGATGTGAATTGAATTTCATTTGGGTGTTTTAGATCTGTTTTTTCACTGTAACTTGCATTTCGGTGTAAGTTTCGAATATAGATATGTATTTAGTTTGAATATAATTAGTTGTTTTTAGTTTCACAAAATATTTTAAAAATCTTTGGAATAAATTTTTTCATTGTTAGACATAAATATTTTTTAAAAAGATAAGAGTTCTTATATTATAATCTCATCCAAAACCAATGGTACGACATTATCATATTTGGTTTGTAAGATTACATTTCACAACAAATAAATGGTACAAACACGAGGATTATGTTTGAGATTGTGCATCTTTTTCTTGTTTTTTTATTAGTATGTTGTAAAGATCAACACTATCAAGCCCTATTTCTAACCAATTACTGTTGGAATCCAGTCTGTTTTGAACCAAAACACTAAACTATGCTGGAATATTTCGTTTGCTCATTCTTTTACAGGTATATGATTCTGTTATGGTTTCAAATGTTCATTTCTCTGTGTCTTTCCTATATATTCGCATACTGATAATGACAGACCATCAGGTTTAAGAATGGGCATTCAGGGGATATGATTCCAAACAATTTAATGGTAGAAGAATGCATCTCTATTACAAGTAATTTTGATGTTATTGAAGCTTAATCTCTGATATCTGGAACTAGAATTTAGATATTCTATCAATAGAACATTTAGTTTTTGATAGTTTTACAAGATACTATTAATTGCTACACTAAATTGGATAAACGCATTGAAATGAAAATATGAGAAATTGGAATGGTGGTTTTAATGAATAACGAATGAGGTGGAGGTTCACATATTGAGCTTTTCCTTTGTGTTAGCGCTGAACGGTTTCCTATTTATTTCTCACCTTCTTTAGGTTTTCAAATAAATAATGAAGACAAGATTAAGAGTGCAGATAGGTCAAGGCGGCAAAGGTGAGGGATAAGATTTAACTCATGCAAGCTGTGAAGCCATACATAGACAATTTCGGATACTTTTTATTTTAACCTGTAAAAAATATGGGTTATTATTGTAATTTGCAAAATGTAGACTTTTTCATGTAATTTATAAAAATTTCAGGCCATTATTAATTTATGGTAAGTTTTTCTTTGATTTTAATTTATAAATAGTTTTGTTATTTATTGTAATTTATAAAATGTTATGGTATTTATTGTAATTTATAAAAAGTTATGGTATTTATTGTAATTTATAGAAAGTTTTGATATTTATTTTAATTTATAAAAAGTTATGGTATTTATTGCAATTTATAAAAAAGTTATGGTATTTATTGTAATTTTTTAAAAAAAAATTGGCCTTTATTATAATATTAAAAAATTAGACTTTTATATTAATTTATATAAATATTTACTTTTATTTTAATTCAATGTTTTTTATTTTAATATTTTTTTAGAATTTTAAATAAAAATTGGGACAATAGTTTTCTGTCATTTATACATTAAATTTTAATATTATTAGTGATGATATAAATAATTAATGACAAAATTTTATTTTATTTAGTGACACAAATAAATGTCATTGAACATAAATGATAAGGTGACGTTATACATAAATGTTATTATGTGTCTAACAATATATGACGATGAAAAGATACAATGTCACACAAGACATTTAGTGACACACCTAGAGTGACGATCGTCGTGACGTCGAATTTTATGTCATAAAATACAAATAGTAACATAAATGTAAGTTTCAATGACGATGTTTTCAACGTCAAAAGTAAAGAAACTTGTTGTAGCGAGAGTTTCACAATTAGAATCTTCCATTATACCATCCCAAACTCCAAGAACATGTATAAGATTTGAGTCGTACATAATCATAACATAACGTCAAAAACAAGAACTAATCATGCTTGAATAATGTAAAATGAGAAAATAAAATATACTTGCAATCAGAAATCATACAACATAGATATTGTATACACATAAATGATACATAATCTGACATTAAAACATAAAGTATAGCACTAGTCGAAGAACACATCGTTAATATCTTACTGATTAAACCTTGTGTTTTTCATAATTGGTAGTACTAGGTCATGTGGTGTGAGAACCTACGATAACATCACTACAGGATCCCCAAAACATTATACTTAAATAAAATAAAACCATTAATTTGATTAATAATAATCACGTGCGAGTAAGCCGAACGTAAAAAGTCAAGATAGACTGAATAAGAGTTGTCCTGATCTTCTAGGGTGCGAAGACATAACATAAAATCAATAAATTAGTCTTTTGATTCCGGAAGATACCTAACATAATTGTATTTTAAAGCAATGAGAAATAAGGCTTTTTAGGTTAGAATTTGGTGATAGAGACTGCAAAAATGAATTTACTTTGTCGTAAAAAATATAAAGTCTATGGTCAACAGACAACGATCAATCAAATCGGGTCAACAAATTAGACCAATTTAGTCAATAATTCATGTTAAAATATCAATCAACGGATAAAGTCAAAGGTCGAGTTGATCATAGATAAAATTGAGTCAAGGTTAAAAGTCAAATCTGGTTTGATCGATTCACTAGAAAATGCATTCTCACTCTCAACGGGCGACTCATGTAATGCATTGGGTGCCCTCAACAATCCAAAATTTTATAAAAATATCCAGACCTGCAAAATAGGGGATGAAAAGTACCTTATCAGAGTTTGTTTGTGGAGGGGTGGTTTTACAAAACACGTAATTTTTCCTCCTACCAAACTTGACGACAACATCGAAGATGGAGGCAAGAATATCAGCTGAAACAAGATAACAAGCTAGATCAAAAGACGTCGATCATGATGCAAACGAAGATTTGAACGACGATAAAACAGACAAAAATTAAAGATGAAGAAAAGGAGAGCGATATTTTAACTAGTTTTGGGCGGCCCAAAAAAATAGGGAAAAAGAAAAGGGAAAGGAGAGAGATTGAATTATGAAGGTCATAATATTTATTACATGATTTTTACCCTTTCTTATAACTCTGAAATTCATAATTGTTCATGATCTATAACAAGGCATTAATATCATGCTAAACCATTTCTATAAACATAACACCATTTACAAAATTGAAGATCAAAATGTTTGTGCTTATATTTCTATAATTCTATGTAGATTCTACCCTTTATGACTCAAAAGAAACATCATAAAACAATTTAAACTATACAGATAATAATCTTGTACACGTCACAAAAGAATCACTAGTTAGGGGTTTAAATGCTATTATTGTAATCCTGTCGGATTGTACTCGAAGGTGTAATTTCTTAACTTTTATGTATCATCGAATAAATTGTCTAAGTCTGAAAACAATCACACATCAAGTACGGAATTGACGAAAATAAACGTTATTTAAGATAAATTATATCATTTCTTGATAAGAATCTAAACCTTCAAATTACACCTCAATCCTGGGAGTTGTTTTCGTTTTTCTCTGGACTATACACCATACAAGCATATCCCAAAATTGAGTTTTGAGGCAAAAGAATCTAATTTGAGTTTGATGGACTCCATCTCTCTTTTAAATATTCCTCCAATGAAATGTTACTCCTTTGCTCCATGCTACTACACGATGTCGAATCGTCCTCAACATCAAGCATTGCAAGGCTTAAATGAAAATCCGCCCTTGCATTTAGATAAACTTCATCATCATCGATATCATATTCTTGGTTTTCTTTGTTCTCATCTTGTGTCAAGGAACATTTTTCAATGGCTTTTTCCCCTCTTAAGAGCTCCAGTACCTATACAAATAATGCAAAATTATAAATGAAGCTCAAGCCTGTTCCAATGCGTTTCGGAAAGTTATAGAAAAGTTTGATTACCTCGTTCATCTTCGGCCGGAGTCGAGCTGATCGTTTGATGCAGAGAGTTGCTGCTACCACCATTCTATGAATCTGGGCCACATTGATGTTTTCATTCAAATCAGGGTCCAGTATGCCTTTCACATCTCCACTCTCAATCTTTGGCTTTGCCTGAAATTTAACAGCTTTCAGCCTAACCGATTCGCTGATCGAAAACTTGAAAATCATTGTTTCAGAGAAATACTCTTACCCACATGACCAAACTCTGCTGGCCCTCATGATTCCCGAAGCTTATCGATCTTTTTCCCGACAACAATTCAAGTAGAACGACACCGAAAGCGTAGACATCAATCTTGTCGCTAAGCTTGCCATACATAAAGTACTCTGGAGCTAAATACCCGAATGTTCCAGCAACATCAGCTCGAGTCAGAAACGATGATGCAGTTGGTCCCCATGTTGCTAGTCCAAAGTCAGATAACTGTCATAGTGATTCAACTTTGTGACATATTTCATTTTCAACCAAATATTATTTCAGTAAACACCATTTCGATTACCTTTGCTTCGAAATCATCTGAAAGAATAATATTTGAAGACTTGACATCTCTATGAATAACAGGTCGAAAATGCTCGTTATGTAGGTAATTTAGGCCTTCCGCAATGGCAACAGCCACGTTATACCTCACTTCCCATGGCAAGGGATGTTTATCTTTGTTCTTCCCTATTATATATACATGCATACAACATGTTAGCTTGCATTAGTATGGTTGAAAACATCTTTTACCAAGCAAAGGAAAACAATGGAAGCTTTACCATGCAGAATTTCTGCTAAGCTTCCTTTAGATGAGTATTCATAGACTGATATTAGATCATAATCTTTAAAGCAGACACCGACTAGAGGTCTTATATTTTTATGCTTCAGTGAGGAGATTATCTCGATTTCATTGGCAAAATCCTTGCATGCATCTTCTGATGACTTCAGAATCTTAACAGCAACTGCGTTGCCATCTGGGAGGATCCCTTTGTAAACGCGGTTGTTCCCCCCTTTTCCGATCAGATTCGCTGCAATGAAACGCAATGTTAGACAAAAAAATATTGTAAAATATAAAGACAGAATGCATCAAGCCATTAAAACCTGATGAGAACTGAGCCGTTGCAGCTTTCAAAACTTCATAACTGAACCATTGGCAATGGGATGAATTTCTTCTCAGGGGTGTCTCCAAGCGTTTTTGCAACTCATATGGCATAGAGAAATTGCTGGTATCATTTTTATCTCCATTTCCACTCCACTCGATTTCGTTGTTGGTTGAGGATTGAGGACTATGATGCAGGGAACGACAAGGTAAGTTCATAACCCATTGGACAACTGATATACTCCTCACCAGCTTCGCTTGCGGTGTTGCCGAGCTACCCCTCAGCAGAAGGGGCCAACCAGGCTTATAATCCATACTATCTCCTGTAAAAAGAGAATTGGAGCTTGAAGAGACTTTTGTGCCTTCATGAATAACACTAAATGCTTCACTCTTAGAATCATCACTACTAGTTCTCGGTCCATCTTTGGAGCTCTGAATCCCTTCAAAACTCGATATCTCGAACCCTAAATCAGAATCACCATACTCTGATGGCCATTCTTTGGTACCAAGGTTTTCACTGGGACGAAAACTTGGTCTTGGATCTCCTTCAATACCTGACATAATTAAAAGTACATCTATTACTACTTTTGAAGACTGAGGTAGAAATCTAGAAACCATTCCCTCTCTTGTTGTTAAAATCAAACCTGGTAGTTTATTATTGTTGGACCTTGTGAAAATGATTTTCCCATTGTTGATGGCCAAAACATTGGTAGTTGTTGGCAACTGCTTTGCACAATATCTAGCTATGGCAGTCCAACCCCTGAAAATGATATCTGCTTTTCATCAGAGAAAGAATCAAACCAATTTGAACAACCAAAACAGATTTGAGTTCAACAATTATCCAAAAAACAACAAATTTAAGTCTTTCAACTGCTCCTTACCCAAGAGCACCATGCTTGCCTACACCAACAACTAGAGTTGCAGCAGCATAGTTCTTTGCTTCTCGAATCAAAACTTCTCGCGTCGATCTTCCATTACAAATCCGGCCTTTAAGTTCAACCTGAGCATCAAAAACCTTGTTCCAATCAATTAATCAAACATGTTCCGTACTCTTATTTCCAGTGATCAGGGACCACGAGTATAAATGAAGCGACCTTCTTTAAGGAACATAGGCCTTCATATGCTTCTAAATAAGGTTCTAAAGAATGATCTACGAAATTTCAAATTAGAGCACAAAGAAGTTTGATCAGGAAACCCCGTATAACATCAAAATCATATGGAAAGTAATAAAAAATGCACTTACCTGAACAACGAGAAACATGAACTGCAACAACACGATCACCAGGTTCTGCAACTTTTACAATCGCCCAATTAAGAAATCCCCTACTTTGGATATCTATTCGTATCCCAACCAACACATTCTTCTTCTTATCATTAAGCATGTTCTTTTCAAGTTAACCAAAAATCTAATGACACCCCAATATTCTAAGCACTTTACACGTTAATATTCTGCAATTATAAATGGTACACCCATTGACATATTTTCATTCGAAAACCCCAGACTCAGAAGGAACAGGCAGATACAAGTTGCAGGCAGAACCATAAAGTTCCAAATTTTTGAATCAGTGAATAAAAGATAACAAAAGAACTAGTACCAATACGTTATTTTTATGAATTTTCTTTTTCTAGAATTATAATGCCGCAAAATAACATCACCCCTTTGCCGATATAATAGAGAATCGTTTAAAAGTAATTTTAGAAATTGAAAAAAATTGGGGTTGATGATAAAGATATTCAAGCTACTTTCTTTTTTAAGAAAAAGGGATTTGATTTTTGAGAAAAGGAATTACAGTAGGAATAAGTGAAGGAATAGTTAGTTTATATAGGTACAGTCGGTTCGTGGAAGCAACAAATTTCGCGCGGATCTCGTGGTTTGGTTTGGAGTAAACACAAGCGAAACCTTTTTATCGGCTCTTGCGGGTTGACCACTTCCACCCTTTGCACTCGCCTTTGTCTCTTGACTTTTGTTTCTTCTTCTTCTTCTTCTTCTCTCTCTATCTCTTAAAACACACACACACACACAAAATGTGTTTTAACTTGATTTTGTATTACAGGTTTCATAATTCAACCCTTGGTTACAAGTTTATCATCATTTTTAGTGCTCCGTGATAAAGAAATTATCTAATTCATGGATGATATTTGGCAATATTTTTTTTTCTTTTCAACTATCTTTTTCTTTAATAATATAAAGATAATTAATATAATTAATATAAAAAGAGGATGGTAACTATTCACAACTTAATCAATTTAGCTTGTAACCCTAATTCCTAATGTTCAAGATAGATATAGGAGTGTTACGATGCGATCGCGACCGCATTTCTTAGAAAATACAAATTTACATATAGTTTAAGTAGTTTTATTTATAATTTTACTGATAATTTAATATTTTTATTTATTAAAATCTTATAATTTTACTGTTATAATTTTTAATATAATTCCTTAAATATATAATATTAACATAAAATTTTGCATTTAACCTTGTTAATGTTTATACTAATGTGAGAAAAGATATCCAATTCTTTTTCGTACCGATGAAAGTAAGGCAGTAGAGAATCAAGGGATTTAAAAAAGAAAAAAAAAAATCCATACGAATTCTACTCAAACTCAGTGTCCATTACTTGATTCATGAACATCAAAAAGATGCTCTTCATTTTCTCAATAATCTATAAAGGTTCTCCAATTAAGAAAATTGATCATATTTTTTATCATCCTTCAAAAAGATGTCGGTTGCATCGTCTAAAATTATTAAATCTTATTGTAGACATTTGTTTCCATCCGAAGTCTTTATTATATTATATAACATAGTATATAAAACTATATAATATGTATATTTTTAAAATAATTTTGTAAACGTATAATATATAGTTTTTTTAAAAATATTTTTGAAAATATATAATATATAGTTTTTTAAAATAGTTTTACAAAAGTATAATATATAGTTTTTTAAAAAATTATTTTGGAAACATATAATATAGTTTTAAAAAAAATTGAAAACGTATAATATATAGTTTTTTAAAAATATTTTTGAAAAAGTATAATATATAGTTTTTTTTAAAAAATATTTTTGAAAACATATAATATATAGTTTTTTTAAAAATATTTTTGAAAACGTATAATATATAGTTTTTTTAAAAATATTTTTGAAAACGTATAATATATAGTTTTTTAAAAAATATTTTTTCGTTATTATTGTTATTATATTATTTATTATATTTAATTATTTATTATGTATTTATTTTATTTATTTATTTAACCATTTCAGGTCCAAATCAAAAGCAGGGTCCAGGTCCAATAGTCCAACTGGGTCCAATAGTCCAACTGGGTCCAACAGTCCAATTGTCCATCAAGGAACCCAACCGAGTGGGCAACCTGTTTCCTGACCCAGCAAGTCGACCCGATGAGCCCCAACCAAACTAGGGTTCGGGTAATTAGCAAAGGGCGCCGCACAGTTTACAACTGTTAGATCGAGGATAGATCAACGGCCCAAATTGAAGACAATTACGATTTCAACCCTAACACCAGCGTCGCACAGGAGTAACAGCCGTTGGATCTGGTCAAAATGATCCAACGGTAGATCGAGAAACCCAAAAGGTACCCACCGGCCGAACAATGGCCACGCACCAACAAAACAACCAAAGCTGAGAAAAGCACCAAAAATCAGCTATGCAAAAGAACCTCGTCTAAATCGGAACTGCACCAACCCGTTTAGCCCGTCAACAATAACTTCCTCAAGCCCAAGTAAAATGGGGACGAGAGAACGACCCCCGAAATAGTCAAAAAATAGCCCCGACCGGGGGCTATATAAATACGAGCAACCACAGAGGCAAAGGGACCACAAAAAATATAACAGGAAAACCGAGCAGCCAAATACCAACAGTAAACACAAATAAGCAACATTCGAAAAACTAAAAGCCATCAAAAAAAAAACATTCGGTCAACATTCGAAACCCAAAGGCGAAGACTTTCGAAACCAAAAGTGAAGAAAAACTTTGTTTCAGGGAAGAACACTAGGGACGCGGAGGAGCTTCGTCGGAAGATAAAAGGTTGTCGAGAAAGAAAAAAGTCTCGTTGGAAAGGTAAAACCCGAGACCTTTCATTTTAGATATGCGTCGGTGGGAGTGATTTTAGGTTGTTTTCACTTCGGCTTTAGGTTCGTGGGCTTAAGGGGAATCTTTTGGGGGTAGTTTGGGTTTTTTTGCCACCGGTGGCGATGGTCGGATCGACGGAGCAATGGCGGATGGCCACCGGGCGGTGACCGGCCATCGGGGCCGGTTGAGGAGAAAGGGAGAGCATTTTTAGGAGAGGAAATTTGTTTTTTTGGGTTTTGAGATGAAAATGAATTTTTTTGTTATTTTGGGGGTATTTATAGGGGCTTTGGGTGTAAATAACAAATACTTTAATTATTTCCTCAGTACCCCTTAGTTTGAAGTGTAATTTGTTTTGGTCACCTATTATAAATTTACTTTTGAATTTCAAATTTGTTCAATTTAATCCTCGTTTTAATTTCTTATATTTTACAAATTGACCCTCCTAACTTTGATTCTTTCTTACAGCTCTCGAATAATGCTAATTTGACCCCTAATTTTAAATTTTTTACAGTTAAATCCTTTTAATTTTAAATCATTCTTTATTATATAATTTCGTTTTACTTTAATAATTAACACATATTTGATTTATTGTTTTAGGTCAATTTTAATCAATCAAGGGTAAGTAATTTGAATCGAATCTTTAAATTTTTGTTTAACTTTTAATTCTTGCAATTAAGAGAACCAAAAAATTAAATTAGTGTCGAAATGATAGTACAAGGGTGCTAATCCTTCCTTGACTGTAACTGACTCCCGAATCTGACATATTTCTGGTAAAATGCAGATCAGATAAGATGATAAATTAAGGTGTCCGGTCAACCAAATTTTTTAAAAATAAATGATTGTTAACGGCTCTAACATGTTTTATTTAAGTCGAAGCCCAATTTCGGGCCCACCCGAAGGACGGTTACGACATCTTGGCGACTCTGCCGGGGACAGGTAACTGGGTCAGGCCAAAATTTCTCTCAGGCTTTATACCCGAGCTCTAAACCTTTTCATAAGTAGAGGTGAAAGTGACGCCTTCGTAGGAATTTATTCTCCGTATAGGCCTAACAAGTAACTTTCGGGATGCATATACCTTATGTCTTCGTGTGAATTTATTCTCTGTACAAACATGAGGGAATGTATCCTCTCGAGTTTAACTTGGTCCACATAAGCTTGTAATAGGCTTAGGACTGAGGGTCTAGCAAGCCCAAGGGGTCACCAGTAAGGAGAACTCGGGTTCTTTTTTTAGAACCTAAACCGAGAGACTACAAGGAATTAGAGCCCACCTCGAAACTCCATTTCAAAACTTAGGATGCTTGAGTTATTTCCTGTTTTATTTTCTATTCGAAGCATGCGAACTAGAAATATATACGGTTAGGACTTGCTCAAAAATTAACATGCGGGATAGAAATCGTGTCCGGGTAAGAATAAAAGCATGTGGGGTAGGAATATTTATTTTCATTATTATTATTATTATCTTACTAACTTGTTTTCTTCTCATTTGGTGTTTTCTTTTATTTTTTTTCTCCATTTGCATCATTTAAAGAGGTATTGATCTACAAAAAAGTGTTCGTTAAACACAAATAATTTGCATTAATGGATAAAGGGGTTGTAATGCAAGAGGTAAAAAACGCAGAGGTCTGGCTATAATCAGAGAAGACTCAGAAGGAAAAGGGAGACAGTCTGCAAGGTAACTATGTGTCATATCTGGGTTGTTATGCTTTTGTCAGCCTTAAATAGAACGATGTTCAAGAGTTACGGAGTATTTAAGACAGCTAGAAAAACGACCAGAAACAAAGATTCTACCAGCGGTATAGTGATATCACGCTCCTACTCTATGTCATGAAAGATGAGCCCCTAATTCGAGCCTTAGTTTAATTTTAGAATTCGGGGTACAGTTGTTTTACATTCAATCAAGAAGACATGGTACCCACAATTGAAGAGTATACCACTTTACTACATTGTAAAGGAATCAAAATGAACCGGGTCTACACTAAGTACATCAAAAGTCAGCCTTTTAAGAATGGGTTGGCAAAGGTTGCAGGGGTAGATGAAAAATGGGTAACTGATCGGATTCAACACAAAGGTAAAGGAGATGGAATTGCTTGAACTCATATCAAACAATTAATGAAGAATCACCCAGATGAATGGAAGGTGATAGACTTTTTTGCAATAGGTCTCTACGGCTTGGTCATCTTCCCCAAAACTTTGGGATACATCGAGGCGGATGTGGTGGAACTATTCAAACAACTACCTAAGCGAGTGAACCCTGCGCCAGCAATATTAACTGAAGCTTTTCGTTCACTAAACCATTGTAGAAAGACTGGGGGAGGAAGATTTATAGGGTGCACATAGCTTCTTTATGTCTAGATCTATAGTCACTTCTGAAAGACTGGTGGGATTTCTTATTGTCGATTCAACACCAATTAATCTCCTTTAGGGGAATTCCTTACACTAAAGTGGCAAGAAGATATCCCAAATAAAAATGGGTAAAGGTATTCAAGCAC